AGGACCCGATGTCTGTGTGTGTCTCTCTCACAAGAGCAGCTGACTGCTGCCACTCCCTGTTTTCTGAGCTTCATCGAGTATGTTTTAAAACCTCTGCTTTGAGGCAGCTCTGCGGTGCTTATCTCTGTGTGTGCGTGAGTGTCAGCCCAGCGTCTTTGTCACGTGGTCGAAGCCTCGGGAAGCTGCAGGAAAGTTGGGTTTCCTGAGGTCCTGGGGAGCCCCTATTGCAGAGTCCTTAGTGGTTGACACGCTAAGCTTTGGTCACATGCTAAGCTTCGGTTCTGAATTACCAAACTTCTCACTCATCAATCCATACTCCTTAAGGACCCAAGACAAAATAGTGATTTTAAAAGAATTTTTTATTTCTTGCTTTCTGGTTTTCCTGGTTTGGGCCTAATCTCACCATTTCTTCGCTCCTAGCTCCCTGAGACAAGAGGGGCACTCTTCAGTCTCTGAGGTCACTTTATTTCCTGTACTTTTCCAAGAGGAGGAAGAAAGCAGTGGTGACCTGCGCCTTCCCACCAGCACCTCACACACACCAACCCTGCACAGGGGTGAAAGTTGCCTGCATGAGTGGGGCTTGGCCCTGTAAGCTGGGATCAGGGCGAGCCTCCATGCTACGTTAGGGACCCTTTATTGCAAGGCGTTTGGGAGAGGAAATTGCGCCTGTCCTAATCACACATTTAACGAGGCATGCTTCCTAGGGCTAAAGTCATCTGGGTCACCAAATGTAACTTCTCGTCATACTTTTTTCCCTTACCTAAGGGAAGCCTTACCTAAGCTGAAGCTAGTAAGTAGACTCTAGTCTACTAGTAAGCAACCCCCCTCAACTGATGGGATGAAATGTGCTCTTCCAGAGGGTTCACTAGTGGAACCCCAGTACTCTCTTATGATGACTGATAACTACTAGTGAGTTCTGTCCATGGCCCCCACCAAAGAGGCCGTAAGAAAATGGTCTTAGGGACACTGTGTTCCCAGAAGGCCAACGCCTGAGGATAATGCCCTTTATAATTGAATCCATTTTATATATTCATGAGCCCTCAGTCAACCTGATCAAGGATATAGGGGGCCGCCACCTTGGCTTGCCCACTGCTGAGGGTCCATGTGTGCGTGTCAGCTCCAGCCACAGACCCTGTGAGAGACGGCATAGTCTGAACGTGAGGACACCAAGAGAAATTTGGAAGCTGCAGAAATACCAACACAGTGGAAAATTAGCCTGTGTGTACTGGATCCTCCCAGTTTGGTGTTTTGGTTCTTTCTTAGTGGTTATGCCACGGAGAGTTTTCTGTGATAGGCATGGTCATGGAAGTAAGTGAACACTTGGTCCCTTGATTCATCTCTCTCTTCTTTTTTTTTTTTTTTGGCTGTGCCCCTCGGCTTGCGGGATCTTAGTTCCCTGACCAGGGATTGAACCCAGGCCACAGCAGTGAAAGCGCTGAGTCCTAAGCACTGGACCGCCAGGGAATTCTCACCTCTTTCATTTATTTTTTTTTCCTTTTTTGCCTCCTCTCAACTATTTATTCTGATTTCTAGACAAGTGAGTTAATTGGATAGGCCCCCGTGACAGACATTCCCTACTCAAATTCATAGCTTTCTGCCAAAACAACATATTGTGTGCTGCTATATTTTCTGCGTCGGAACTGGGAGCTGACGCCCACCTCTTTCATTTCTTAATATGTTCTTACATATGTTTCCAGACCAGCAGCGTTGGCAGCATCTGAGGACTTGTTAGAAATGAAGTTCTCAGAACCCATCCCGGACCTGTTGAATCAGAAACTGGGGAGAAGGCCCAGTGATTCGTGTTTTAACGAACCTCTTGGTAATTCTGCTGCACACTACAGTTTGCAGCTCACTGTGTTAGGGAAAGCCAAGGGTCAGAGTCCCCACACTGGGGCTTTAGGACCAAAAATAAGGTCCTCGGTTATAATTCAGACTTTAACATTAGTTTCAGAGTGTTCTCATGTTTCCTCATGATTCTGTTTTTCCTTTCATTTGACAGAAAGGACGGGTATGTGTGCCTTTGGGAAGAAGTTAGGGGGGAATGCTTGCATCTCCTAGTCAAACACAACCTTCAGAGAAAAATGTCATGGCTCTGAGATTCCTAGGGGCTTCCCAGGGGGACGCAGTGGGAGAGCTCTTCCAGGTAGCTCTTCTGCTGGGTGACATGTCTACTCAGCCTTTTTCTGGTGATATAATAGGATGAGAATGGCTTAAAAATGTGACTTGCATTTCCATGAAAACTTGTTCTCTTAGCAGCATCCCTCGCCCTTGCCCCAGTTCTAAAGGGCACTGCCAGGTCTGAGAACCTGCCAGAACCTCCTGCCCCCCGCCCACACACACACACCCCGGCCCTGCTCAGTCCGCAGGAGAAAGGTTGAGGCAGCGGAGTATCAAGTCGTCGGGGTCATCCATCCTTTCCCCGCACCGGGACACACAACTACTCATGGCGACAGAATAAAAAAAAATTTTTTTTAATCTGAAAGGAGCTTCATATCTTTCCAAACTCACAGACCCCTGCTGGTGGGGCCTTGTGGGAGATGAGGTGCGTACAACTGGTTTTGTTCCAAGTTTGTCCGTTTTCCTCATGAGAGCACTTGTGGGTGGAGGACGAAGAACCATCTGGCATTGGGCCTCCTGGGCTCCGGGACCAAGCAGCTGGAAGAGGACGAGAAGGCGAGTGAAGCGCTGCACTAAAGTCACCCCGGGCCCTTCGTCCAGCTCCTGCGGGCTCTCCCCACATCCAGGCCATGTCTTGTGTCTCCAGACAGAAGTTGTGGATGGGAAGGCAGAGGTTCCCATCCCAGCCCCATCCCAGCCCGTCTCTGGGCCACTGCTGTGCGAGGGCCTCCCACTTGCTGTTTTTTGGGTTTTGGTGTTTTGGTTATTTTTTAACAGAACAATCTTTTTCTCAAATGAATTCCAGCCCCTGCTGGGTTCCTTTCCTTGTCCCTAACGCACCCGTCCCCGTTTTAGGCAGCGCTGTTTGTGTGATGGAATCTTGTTTCTCAAACGCATGGCGATGCTCAGGTGGAAGGTGGGCAGGAATCTTTGCAACACTTTTTTTTTTTTAATTTATTGTGCACAAACCCCCAAACCTGGATATGTGTGTGTGTCTGTGTGTTTATGGTTTTTATCACTGGCCCTCCCTCTTTCAACCTACCCCCCTTTATATCTGATGTAGAGAAAGTGAGCCGTTGTACATAGTTGCGGTAACAATCATAATGAGAGCTGGGCCGTGCCCTCGGTGATTCATCTTAAATAACAAAGTGGTTGAAAGTTAAGTCCATGCCGGGGCCGCAGAAGAGGCCTTCCTCCATCACTGCCGGAGGCCCCTCACCTGGGCCCTCTGTCCATCAGGCATGTCTCCTCCCACCAAGAGTCACCTGTTTGATGCCATTTGCATTTCAATAAAGCTATCTTCTGTGTTGTCCTATAGCTCTCTCCAGCTCCCTCTGTCTGGTTTCTGTTTCCATTTATCTTCTGGCCCGTGCCTTGATCGGGAAGGTCATTTGCCAAACCCAGAGATAAGAGCCACCTGCCTGGATATCTGATCCTCAGCCCCAAGCAGGACCCTCTCGGCCCCTTTGGTTGAGCGCGGGGTGGGGTCCAGCTTGCAGACTGGACGCAGCCTCCTTCACCAGAACTCGAAAAGTCCAGCCCAGACCTCGGGGCTCTTTGAATCCTCCATCCACAGCCTCGATGTTTGAAAACATACCACCCTCTGGACTTGCCTAAGTTTTCTTCTTGGGGTAAAAGTGACTAAACCTCTGAGAAGAGAAGCTGTTCTAATAGAGTTCTGCTTCTGGCCACTGAAAGATGGAAAATAGGAAGCCCTACTCTGCCCTACTGTGGAGCTGTGGTGTCCAAAAGGGCATCTTTCCCCCACGAAATTGTGGTGACACAAGCCACCTCTGCCCTCTAGTAGGAGGTGGCAAGTGGGTTTAGAGCTCTCCTCAAAATAAATAATCGAGGAATCATTCTTTCGGAAGAACACTCAGACGAGGTGACTTAATTCCTGTGATCAGCTTAGCCTCTGAAGTCTTAGAACTGGGCTAGGAATTGCTAACTGGTTTTCTTTGCCACTTGGGAAGGAGTCGTGGTTCCTAGAAACGTTTTCAAGGCACTTAACCTGAACAGCTTACCAAGAAATGCCTGTTCCCATCTGCTCTGACCCTGGCACTCCAACGACAGCCCCATCCCTGTGCCGCCGCGTGCTTGTCCCTGCCCTGTCTGCACTGCTAACCCCTCTCAACAATCCTCTCCGCTTGCCCCAGGCTTTAGGAGTGTCTCTGCACCTTGAGCCATGTCCCCGAGCAGCCCGGGATGGCCATATTAACTACTTATCCCTCCACCCTGTAAGGTCCAGCCATAATTTCCCTGGAAAAAAACTTTACACTTTCTCAGCTAGTAGGACTTATTCTCAGTAAGACTTGTAAGCACTTACCCTGGACGGAATTCCCTTTCCCACGCTGCTCTCTCCTGGCCAGCCACGGTCCAACCTTGAGGTTGGGCTCATCCACCTGAAAAACCAATGGACTCCCCACTGCCCAGTCCACGCAGATTCCTTCCCCCGACCTTTGGATTCCGGAGGCTAAGATATGAAGACTCTCACCTGTTTCGGGGCAAAAGCGGTTGGTTTGAAAGAGGAGCTAATTCCGACCCTCTCCTTAAAGCCTCGTCCACCCATCCCCATCCCACCCTCTCCTGACTTAGTATCTTACGCGTGAAGGACCGGTGCATGTGGAGTCACAGGTCACGAGCTGCGCTCCCGGCAAGGCTGCTCAGCCGCCGTTAAGCCGCAGGAGAAACCCAACCTGCGGAGACGGTGCAATTCTCGTTCCCGCGGCAGGTGGCGCTGTCTCCTGAGGCTCGGACCTCGGCCCCGCCCTCGCGCGCTTGCCCGGCCAGTGCGCAGGCGCGGCCTCGCGGATTGGCCGCGCGCAGGAGCCGTCCGGCGGCGGCGGGTTGGGCCGCGGGGCTGGCGCGCGGCGCGGAGCAAGATGGCGGCAGCGGCGGCAGCTGGTGTGGCCTCCGGGCTGCCGGGGCCGGTGGCCCAGGGGCTGAAGGAGGCGTTGGTGGACACGCTCACGGGGATCCTGTCCCCGGTGCAGGAGGTGCGGGCGGCCGCCGAGGAGCAGATTAAGGTGCTGGAGGTGACGGAGGGTGAGTGAGGCGGGCCGTCGTGAGGGCGGCGGGTCTGGGCCGCGCTGACCACTGGCCGCGCTTCGGCCGGAGGCTGGGCCCGGGGAGGTCGGGGGCCGGGGAGGCCTGGGGACGCTGGGGCCCGGCCGGGCGGAGCGCGGGGCCGGGGCGCGAGGCCGGAGTGGGGGCGGGGGCTGGGGCGGGGGCGCGTTCTCCGCCGGACGGTGGGCCTGGGCGCGGCTGTCAGCTGGGGGCCTGGCGGGGCCTCCACACGTTTCCCCGGGAATCAGTCATGCCTGTGCGGCCGCCTTCCCTCCCCGCCGCGTCCCCGCCGGTTTTCGGAGCGGCCGGCACTGTTCGGAGCAGCCGATCGTCCTTTGTCTTTGTGTCTTTGTCCCCCTCCTCCTATTGGAAGCTTGAAAGTCATGGAGAAGAAAACAAGCCGTTGGCTTGAGGTTGTCCTTCAGTTCCTGCCGAGCGGGCCTTTCTCCAGGCCCGGGGCAGCCACGCTCCGAAGAGCATTAGATCCTGAAACAGGAGGAGGGAAATCCGCTCGGGGTTTATGTCAGGAATACGTCTGGCCTGTCGGGGCTTCGCTGGCAGAACTCCAAACCTGCGGACCCCTCCAGCTCAGCAGGACGGTGCCACCACCTCTGAGTGTCCGTAGGAGTTGGCCCCCCTATGGACTGAGGGTTTTTATTGAAAAGAACTTAAGACAAAGCTCACTTAAATTTAATTGTATATTCTCCCGCAGCATGAGAGAGCTCTTGAAGAACTAAATTATCTCTATTGGAAATACGTTGAGATTTGGGATCTAGGAGGTTAAGGACCGTTTTGAAGGCCCAGTTGTAATTGTCATTGTCTTGTGAAATGTCAGGTCCTATAAGAGGAGCTGTGCACAGATTGACCTGTAGGAGTTATTACAGCCTACTAGGTGAAATTCCTTTCTTCACACTAACGTGCCTGCCTCCCTTGCGTGTGAAGGAGAAAGGGTGACAGAGCAAAGGAACCTCGTCACATTCAAGTTGCTACTTGAATAAAGTTGAAGGTCCGGTACCTTCCCTGAGTGACAGCCAGGGTTCCCGGTGCCCCAGGCATAGGTCTGGTGCTTTCCTACGAAAGGTGAACCTTCGCTCGTGTTTGAACTGTCCAGCAGCAGCTCCGATTGGGCTCTGATGCCTTCGACTCTAGCCGACACCACGGTCTCATCTAGGCAGAGTCAGTTATCATCTTCTTGAGATCTTCTTGAAGTTCTACTCTCCTACTTCATCTTTTTGGGTCTCAAAATAAGAAACAGACGTGCAGAATTTTGCATTTGATCTAGGCCACCGATGGGAATAGATTCTCTCTTTCCC